ATATATATATATATCTTTATTAATATTAATAATTAGAGAAATTTAGATTCCTTGAACGATAAACAATAATGTGAAGATGTGGTTTTTGTGATGTGCCATACCTGAGCATGCAAACTCTGGATTGTTTAATGAAACTTTTCTCATTTAAAAATGATTGTAGCCTCAATATTTTAGTATTAGGATTTTTGTCTGAAAATGCTGTCAGGAATCTATCGTTAAGGGTATATCCACACAAACTTGCATAAACATATGCATAAAGAAAATTATCCAATTACATTTTACATTCGTTTTTATAAGAAATGTGCGATTAGATAATTCTCTTTATGCATACATTTATGCAGCTATGCAAGTTGTGTGGATATACCATAACTGGTATCACTGTAAGCATGAGACATATTATATTGAAAATATACAAAGTAGAAATTAACTGTTTGCTTGTATAATTTTTTATGAAATATTCTAATAAAATGAAGTATATATAATTTTACGTTTGGTTATTAACATATATTTTTATATTTTTTAGCTGACATGTAACATCGCTTTAATAGTATGAGGCAAACTTTTATGACATTAACTTTACATTTTCTTATATAAGAAATTATTTTGGTCATGAAATTTGTCAATATCTTAAAGATTTGTGTAATTTGGTAAAATTGAGTGTAAAGATAAGAACAAGAATTAGATTTTTAAATTGTTGTTTGAAATATAATATAGTACCACCACATTTAAGAAGATTCACTAACAATAATTGCTTATCACTTTATAACAGAGGTTATTATTTGAAATTAAGAAAAATACAATACAATAATGTAAAAGCTATAATGATCCGATTGGACTCGAAACGTTTGTTCTTTTTGTAATTTTTAAAGCGTTTTATTAAATTTTATATATTTGATATTTTCTATAGATTTATTTGGCTCTTTGCCCTTCTTAGTTTTGTATTTTTTTATACATATAGAGCCTTCTCACTAATTATTTTATGACAAATCTTTGGAGAACGTGAATCAAAGAACAGATGTAGTGGAAAAAGCCTGAAGAAATATATAAACTTAAATGGGTTCTGTATGATTAATTAAAGTTCCTAACAAAATCATGTGCTCAAGCAGAAAGTTTGTTCAATTTACAAACTTCTGAAAATACTACTTATTCTGATAAAACATAATTTTTAAGAAACGATAATGCTACTGAAGCAGTAGAATCTTCAGAAAATGAAATTTAATTTATGTAACACACAGGTGAGTTTTTTTTATTAAATCTCGACAAAATTTAATAAAATATCTCGTGACTGCTAATTCTTTCTTTATATATAGTAAAACATACATATTTTTGATAAATTATATCATTAATAAGAAATATGATTTTTTATATTTATAAAATTTACTTACATATTGTAGACGACGGGAAGAGATTTCGTAAGCATATTCTACAATGATTGTAAGCCACAAAAATTGACCTATCGTAATCGATTATTCTCCTCATATTCGATTACGATTGGTCAATTTTTATGGCTTACGGTCATTATAGAATAGGCTTTAAGCCTGATCTACAAATGCGTAAACGTAGTTGTAAGGCCTGGTCTACAATAAGTTGCAAACACTCCGTTGTCAGTTGCAATGCTTTGTGACAGTCAATCAGAAGCATGACTAATTACTATCGAAGCTTCTGGTTGGCAGTCGCGAAACATTGGTCGCGTTCAGCAGACTCAACAGTTTTACAACCGTTTTATGATTCTTTGCTGAGATAGGACTATTCCTTTAGATCTAAAATTATAATCCAATCAGCGAGACGAATCATAAAACGGTTGCAAAACTGTTGAGTCTGCTGAACGCAGCCATTGGCTACGTTCAGCAAGCGCAACGGTTGCACAACGGTTCATTAAAAAGCTGCTGAACGCGCTGTTGTCAGTGCCCGATACACAACGTGTTTACTGAGCGGACGCCATTTTTTCCATCATATTTTAAGACCGCTACCTGAGCTCAACACGTTGAGACATGTAAGAAACATAACCTAAATAGATAGATTTTTCCTAGTATTACGAGGAGCGATAGAAGGCACTCTCTCCAAACTTCCATCCGAAGGTTAAGGACAAAAAATAGTTTTTTTTATCCAGAAGGAATCTGTATTTTTAAAACATGGACGAATTTGAAAAAGAATATATTTATAATAATATCGTATATAAAGTTTTTGTAACAAGAGATGTGCATGACAGTTTAGAGAACGGTATATAAAATTATCTATCTTTTGCTTGTAAAATAAATTTGTAAATTATGCAATGTTTTTTCCATAAATCCAAATTGTTTTATTATGTTTTATTGTTCATAGATTCAAACTTTTTTACAACATATTTTACCGAAAATATGCCCTCACAAGAAGCAATATGCGTTTCAGAAGATAAAGGTATAATATTTACAACTAATTATAAAAAGCTTTTTAAATATACATATATTTATTTAATCTCTTTATTTATTAATTTTATTTATAAAATATTAGTTAAGAGGTCTGTTTTCTGTGGCTGAACTAGTATACTTTTAAAACTTAAAGTAAGATAGATTGTACACACATAGGTTTGATTTTTGTCGAAAGCGAGGAAAAGAGTTCTAGTGCAGTCCAGTGCAGGAACAGAAAAAAAAACAGACCAAAGATGCAGATCTTAAAATATCTTATTTATTTTTATTTTCAGTTTCAGTCTTTACGTGGTCAAAGCAAGCAACAAAATTGTTCTTGCAAGCATATTTTGAAAGAAAAGAACAGTTTCGCGATCCCAAAGTACGGAAGAAAAGTTTATGGACACAAATATGTAACATAATGTCAAATAAAGGTTACAATGTAGACGAAGATACATTAGACAGAAAGATGCGCAATATGAAAAAGACATATCGTACAATAAAGGATAATAATAAGAAAAGTAGTACTGGAAGAGGCCGCATACATTGGGAATATTATGATACTTTTGAAGAGATATTTAGAAATGATGCAACTATAAATCATGGACCAACCTTATCTTCAATGCCATCCACATCAATAAGTGCAAAATCAAATCCATCCACGTCAAAAGTTACAAATTCAGTGCCATTTACATCAACAGATGCAAACTCAATGTCATCCACGTTAACAGATGCAAATTCAATGCCATCCACGTCAATAAAAGAAAACTCAATGTCATTCATATCAAATGATTATGAACAAATCAAGTTTTTTGAAACTAATGATCAGGTAACTCCAGCTTTATTATAATCATTATATGGTTTAAAACTGGCAATAAAATAAATAGAAGCGGTCTTTATATTTCAGATAATACATCCAACGCAAAATAAAATGTCATTGAACTATCATCATCAGAGTCACGATCCCCAAGTTCCGATAAAGAAAACAAAAGAAGTAGGATGAAGACGCTATCGTTAATGCGAAAGAAACAACTTGATACAGAAAACAGTAAAATAGAAGAAATAAAGAGACTAAAAGAGGCGATGGATAATAGTAATAAATTACAAACAGAAAGTAACAGTATACTTGAAGAACGAAATAATTTATTGAAAGATATTCTCTTCGAAATAAAACAGAAGAAAGAAAAAGAAGAATAAGATTGATACTGGTATCATGACTGATTAAATATCAAGTTTTACTATTGATATATTGCTTTTTAAGTTAAAACAAATTGCTTTGTTATATAGGTACTAAAAATATTTTTGTATCTTTATATTATTAAAACGTTAATTTAGTTCTAAGAATATTCTTTTAGTTCCGTGTTAAGCGTACTAAAAAGTATTTTTTTATTTATTACCTGATAAATTTATTTCTGATTATTGCATATTTTACAAAAAGATAATTATAATATACTTTAAGAACAAAAGGTTTTATCAAAAGATATATTCCTTTTCAAATAAAACATAAGTCTTATAAGAAAAGTTTGTCATATTGATTACTATTGATATGTTGTTTTATTATATCTTTGTTAAAATATTTTGGTGTAGTAAGATACTTAAAAAAATATTTTTTTTATCTCTGTTATTGACATGTTAATTTAGTTTTGTCTTAAGGATACATTATAAAATACTGATTCGTTATCTAAAAACAAAAATTGTTTTTGATCTGTCATAATAATGTTAAAATGTTAAATTCTATTACTTTATGATTAAAAAAAAATATTGATTTGTATGTGAAAAATTTTTTCACTATATCTAGTATTTAAATGTGATTTAAGTTATATTATTTTAAAAGCTACTTACATAAGGTATATTAATTCATATGCAAAGTATTTTCGTTGGATGCAATATATTACAACATGTGATATAAAGATACATATAAGATAAATTTTACAATAAAAGAGTTTGTACAATAAGTACGATTCGTACAGTTAATTATTTGGTATTAATAATTCCGCTATTCTATTCCTTTTTATTATCGCTTCATTATTATCTGCTTCTTCTCTTTCCACTGCTCTTTCCTCTTCTTGCTCTTCCTCTATCAATTCTTCATCACTTTCATAATTAATTTCATTATGATCTATTAAAAAATTATGTAGAACACGGGCTGCTGCGATCATTTTATTTCCAAAATCAAAATCAGCAATATCTAAATATTTTAGTCTGCAAAATTTACCCTTTAACAAAGCATATCCTCGTTTTATCATTGATCTTATAGTAGACAATTTAGTATTATATATTATTTGAGTTCTAGTAAGATGGCCTGTGTCTCGATAAGGTGTTAATAAGTTCACTAGTAATGGGTACGCTGCATCGCCAATAATATGACGATCAGGTGGTAACAAGTGATGTTTTAATCTTTGAAAAATTTCACTCTGTCTAAATACACGTGCATCGTGCATGCGTCCCGGTAATCCTACAAATATATCTATGAAGCGTCCTTTATGATCACAGATACCTGTTTTAAAAAGAAAGCAAAATTATAATAATATTGTAAAATATTATTATATGTTAAAAGCAAAATTGAATTGCAAAAATTATATCTTAAATAAAAAATGTTTTTATAATACCTTGTAGGACAATAGAGTGAAAACCTTTTCGATTGTAAAAATCATTAGGATTGTCTATAGGAGCTTTGCATGGTATATGACATCCATCAATAATCCCTACTACACCTGAGATACCATGAGAACGTCTGTTAAATACCTGTGATAATTTTAGATAATTCAATATACATATATTAAAACAATTTAATGTATGTGTACGAACAACTTACCGTTGAAATTATGTTACACATTTTTGCATCCGGCCATGTCACAAAATTTGATAATAAGTGAACTAATATATTTATAATTTCTTTCACTATACCGTGAGCAGTACTTTTTGCCAAGTTAAACCGATCTCCAGCAGACAGATAACTTTCTTGCTTTGCCAGAATCCATATTGTAAACATTACTTTTTTTCTTAAATCTACAGGATTGTTATGATTTGAGTGCATTGCGTGTCCAATTACGTGTATTAAATTCTATTCAAAATGAGCAAAGCAAAAATTAGTATATCATTAATTTTTTAATAAATATATGATAATTGATACAGTATAATTGGATTTTTGAATACCTCAAACGTGAATCTAGACATTCGAAAATGTTCTTTAAACACATAATCGTTGTACTGTGGTACAATTACTTCATAATAATTTTCATTCTTTGATCGTATTCCACATTCATTTTGTAATAAATTATTTTGCAATGGTTCGTCCAATTCATTTACTACAAAGTTTATGATATTTCTGTGCAATTCTATACCTCTTACATCATCCGCATCGTCGGCAACAATTAATGTCAAATGTAATAAATCCATGTTCACCGAATTATCAATATATGAACGACGAAAATGACAAATTAACCTAAATAAAGTCATATCGTGGTAAACATATGATATAAATCACGTGACTAGGGAATAGAATCGTTCAGCAATTGGTAACCGCTCACTCAACGGTTGTCGCAACATATTCGAAATAAGTTGAGCTTGCTGAACGTAGCCATTGCGACTGGTGACAGAATGTTTGCAACTTATTGTAGACCAGGCTAAAGTGATAATCGTTGTAAGAATCCTCCAATCACAGTTGAATATTCTCCTCGTATTCAATTGGTCAATTACTACAACTACGTTTACGAAATTATAGATCGGTGGACCAATGAGCATCTTATGTAAATGGTAACTTTATGCTGGATGCTCAATGGTCTAGCAGTTTTATGTTATGCTTATACTCTGTTAAGGCGCGTCTCCAATAGAAGACCGTAAGCTTAGATGTAAATGTTGGTTTATTTGAACTTTTACACCTTTGGCTCCGGCACATCACGCTGGTGTTATGGTTACGGAAAGAGGTTAGGACGAATCTACAAATCGTATACCTCTTCTTCTCAGATTTGAAACGACACTCACTGAAGATATATAGGTATATATATACACACATATATAAAAGTTATAAATTCTACCTAAAAGGAGTTCTCAAGGAAGCTCTTACCTTTCCTTGAGTGAGGGCGACTGTTACCAACGCCGATTAACTTAAGCGGGGAGCACAGACTTTTGCATAACGCATAAAGCATGTGCATAAGGAATTTCATTGGTCCATTTTCTTATGCATGAGTCAATGGACCAATCAAATTCTTTATGTATATGGTTTATGCGTTATGCAAAAGTCTGTGCTCCCCGCTTTAGGCTGTTTTCCTTTTAGGAGACACAAATCGACACAGTATAACACACTCGAACACTGTTTGCCACACTTAAATGGAACGCGATATGTGCAGTGTGTGTACCGTGTGTACGAACTTTTAGTACCTAACCATAAATGAATTTTGATCTTATAGAAAAAAAGTCAAGCTTTTTGTTTAGACAGTCGAAAAAAATTTTTCAAAAACCGATTCTGAGCTATATCGAAATTAAAACTTTTACCTTGAATTTCAAGGTCAAATGTTAATTTTTTGGAAAAACTTTTACCACTATCGTATAGCGCAGAAAAAGACCATTAAAAATCACTACTTATATGTTAACTTTTATGCATCATACTTATAAATATAATAAATTGAAAAAAAAACATTTTAAAAAAAGTCAAAATTTTGTAACTCTTTAACTCAAAAAATAGTTTATCAAATTCAAAAATACTTGATATTTAGACTTTCACTAACAATAACAACATTTCAGTAAAGTTTTGACCAAATTGGAAAACTTTTATTTTTTGGTCAGGACATTTCAGGAATTTTGCCCCATATATATATATATATATAAAGCCTCAAATAAAAACAACTTTTAAACTATCATTTTACTTTAAAACTTGACTGGAAATAGAATTTGAGTTTGAATTATAAGTTGTTGGAGAAGTTATAGATATGGGTGAAAAAAGTACAATTGGTAATGTTGATAATAGTATAAATGATGATGTTGCAATAACTGGCGAGCATTTTTCTGAAGATTGTACAACATTAAGTGATACTCTTACAAAATGAGGGTTATTAAATGATTGCAATGAAGTAGAAACTGAGCTTAAATTATAAATTGTTGGGAAAGTTGTTAATATGGGTGAAGAAGTTGAAAAAAATACAATTGGTGATAGCGTAAATGATGATGTAATTGGCAAATATCATACTACACATTATCTGTAAATGCCTTCGTATTTGTAGAATTCTTATTCTTAGGGATGCGCGATTTTTACCGATTTATCGATATGACCGATTTTTTTGGGCAAAAAACCGGTCATTTTTGGCCAATATTTCTGGAGGCCGATTTATCGATCTTCGGTTTTTTAAATTAAATATCGTAGCTGTTCCGACATTCACTGGGTCTCAGGGTCTATTTTTTGCTGCTACACTCTCCGAACGGGTGCAGCAATGAAAAAGCAGACCGAAGGCCGGTTTCACCGGCGCCGGTTGAGTTGGCTGGCCGGTCGCGGTCAGCTGTTTGGTAGGTCAATGCTGCTGGGCAGTGGCTGCGATTGGTCGGTTGTCTCGGCTGGCGTTGGTTAAACCGACCCCTATAGGCTGTTGCCTGCTGCTAGTCTGTTAGCACAGTGCTACCAATATTAAAAGCATATACTATTACAAGCATTATGGGTTTTCAGTACTGACAATGATAGTGGCCTAGTTGAACCGATTATCGTGGTTATGCAAAAGTTATGCGTTATGCAAAAGTGTGTGCTGCGGCCTTATAAGTTTTACCGTTTTAGATTAATATTACGTGACTTAGGACCGATTAAAAGTTTATATACACATTTATAAAAATATGTAAAAATGTATGACGAAGGTAAGATGTGAATTAGTTTTTAATAAGTCTATTGTGAAATAATGTGAAAATTCTAACCTCAGCAATTCATCATCGAATTTATTTCTTTATCATTATCGAATATGATTGAATTTGACATGTCAAATTTAGTTTCATTAATAATTTCTTTTTTTTATGATGCCATATCTCTGACAGAATCAGTAGACAAAGAAAATAATATTCCTTCACAATTTAACGAAGAAATTGATGTTGAAATAGAATCAACTGTCGAGCAAAATTCAAGGTAAAAAAAATACAATTCATTTTTTAATACTTTTTTCTATTTATAATAAGTCTATTTATATTATTTATAGCACTAGAAAAAAGAGTTCTGTATGGTCATATTTTAATCACAAGACTGTTGAATATGCTTCATGCACCATTTGCAATGCAAAAGTTAAGCATTGTGGTGGGACATCCAATTTAAGATCACATTTAAATAGAAACCATAGGATATTGTGTTCTGGTATATTAAAGAATACGAAAGAAACATCTGAATCGAGCAGTGAATCGATAATTGAAAATTATCCGTTGACTAAACGAAAAAAATTGACGTCAAAGGTAACTATATTAAATATGTATTAAACTATGTATATTAAACAAAGCACTTCTAATAAATGATAAAAAATTTCAATCTGAAATTTATGGCTTATTTCAGCAAAATAACTTGACTCGAATCAACGAATCTTTTGAAAGGATAACTTCTTATAAAGGTTTGTACGAATTTCAAATAATTAATAAGATCATTATATAGATCAATAATCTAATGTTCGTTTATCATTTTCAGAAGGAGGAACATAACCAAGGATAAAGAAGCACTATCTATAGTTAATAGAGAAGGTTTCAGATACTTCGTGAAAATAGCAATTCCACGTTATTGTTTACCTGATCGAAAGACTCTAACTAAATTAATAGAGAATCGCTATGTTGAAACAAAGGAACGTTATAAGTCTACTCTCGAAAAAGCTTTGTGCTACACATTAACATATGATAATTGGACTGATTGCACTTTTCAAAGCTGTTTAGATGTCACTGTTCATTACATATTGGAGGATCTTGTCATGAAAAATGGATGTTTGGAAGTATTTCCGTTATATACAAATCATACAACAGAGTACCTCACGGAATGTCTCAATTCTATCATTGATGATTTTAAATTAGATAAAAAAAAAATTATGGCAATTGTTAGTGATGGAGCGGCAAATATTAAAGCTGCTGTATGTAATATTGTGAAATCTGAAAAACATTTGGTGTTTTGCACATTTTTTATCTCACCTTGTACCTAAAGTGGTAAAAGATGTTGCAACAGTCAATGATCTTATTGATACAGTCAAGAAAATTGTCGTGTTTATCAGAAAAAGTATTATAGCTTCAGATGAGTTGAAACGGTTACAAATATGTGACGGGAAGACAGAAGGAACTGTATTAAAATTTATTCTCGATGTTCCGACTCGCTGGAATTCTATACTATACATGTTAGAGAGATTTCTCGTTTTAGAACAGTACGTATATGCAGTTACTTCGAAATGCAAAAAGCAAACGTTCCAGATATGCTGATTCGTAGCCAAATTAAAATCCTACAGGATATCGTATCTCTCATGAAACCAATAGAATGTGTCATCAAGGAAATCAGCGGCAGTAACTATTCTACGTGTAGTGTCATTATACCAATCACTGTATGACAGTAACAATTGAAAACATTTCACCTTCAACAGCGGAAGGAATTCTTTACAAGACAAAGCTTCTTGAATCAATTAAACATAAATTTAAAGATGTTGAAAATAATAAGATTCTCTCAATTCCTACGATACTTGATCCAAGATTCAAACGAATGCATTTTCAAAATGCCTTGTCAGCAGCTGCTACTGTGGAACAAATAAACAAAGAAATGAAAGTAATTTCTACGATAAATAAAGAGATAGAACAACCTGTTCAACAAGAATTCTCTGACATAACGAATCAATATAGTATATGGAAGACTCATGACAATTTGGTGGCAAAGAGTACTAACGAAAGTATGGACGATGACCATCTTCTCCACGAACTAAGACAATATTTAAAGCAACCGGTCATCGCTCGACACAACAATCCATTTCAACATTGGAAAACCTTAAAGTACTCGTTCCCAACGCTGTACGAACTGGCAATTCGATACATGAGTATTATTAGTACCTCTGTACCATCAGAAAGTAAATTTTCCGAGGCTGGTACCATTAAGAATCATGAAAGAAATCGAATAACGGGTGAACACTTAAACCAACTCTTATTTATGGGATCTCTTTCAAAAGAAGAATGGAATTTGACATAAAAATTTGGCATGATCTCATTACTTATTGTTCTAAATTTTTTCATTTTCTTTATTACTTTTAATTCCTATATGGCTATTCTCATTTTTTATATTGTAAATATTATCTTTTGTTTTTTTTTAAATAAAAACTATTGTGTGCTTATTAAATAAATATATATACACATATACGTATATATGTATATAGGTATATATATGCTACCATAATTCTCTTTTTCCTTTATTCTCTTTATATATGTGAATGGAATGGTGATTGGTGATTTGATGATTCTGTTGCTTCATTTTTTATTTCAAATTGATGATTCTCTAATTGAGCGTATCAAGCTAGGTATGAGTTTTATATGATTTGTACATGGGCAAGGACCTTAATTATGTAATCCCTTCCAAATGTTATGAGAAATAATCAATTATATAGTATATATATGTATATATATAAATTATTCATATATTTTTTTTATACTAGGCAAAAATAAACTTGGAAAGAAAAGGGCACTAGGAGTTACGCGCAGATAACCTTATACGCAAACACCGATATGTATCAAGCAAAACTCCATTTATTACAATAATTGTGCTTATATGTTTCAGCTCATTTTTGAGCCTTCTTCAGAGACAATGTAAATTACATAAATAAATTATAAAGTAAAAATAACATGAAGAATCAAAAGATGTTTAATCGCAGTGAGCTCCCCCACAACCGAGAAATAAATACTGATGTTAATTTTATCTTACAGAACACACTAATATAAATAATTAAAGAAGAAGAGAATTAAATAAATAGAAAGCTGTAATTGAGGAAAAAAACCAATTTCGCAGAATTTCCTGGAAAATTAATTTTGAAAATAGATTTATCATAATTATAATTATTATTCTACCGGGAGTGAGGAGGCTCACTGTGTTCACAACGATACCGTATCGCAAACATTCTCAAAACTGGTCTCCAGAATAATTTAAGCTAAAGCCGGGTTCACACCTTGACGGAAAAGCGGATTGCGGAAAAGCAGTAGCCAATCAGAGCTCGCGTTGGTAGCAAGTAGTATAGAACTGACAGAAAGTCGACTATCAGCGCGAGTTCTGATTAGGTACTGCTTTTCCGCTTTCCGTTTTTCCATCAAGATGTGAACCCGATCTAAGACTCCATGTATGCGGTGAGCTGCGGCAAACGCATGCGGTGACCAATGCAGTAATCTATAAAGTCATTTCGGAGAAATTGGAAATCTACAATGTCGGTAGGTGGCTTTAGGATTCCCTTAATAATTAAAAAAATAATTTAAAAAATATGTGTTTAATTTTCAAACACTAAAAAGAAGAAGACCGGTGCACGGTGTAGCAATTTTTTTCGATTTTTTGAAAAATCGAAAAAAACCAGTATATCGATTTTTCGATCTTTCCCTCCTGAGAACTTATTGCCGATATCAATGTTTTTCATTTTTACCGATTCTTCCGATATCGGTTTTTTTTCCAATATCGCACATCCCTACTTATTCTACATTCCTTATTTCTCCTATATTCTTCTTATTGTACAAGCATAAACATTAAATTATTTATTATATGAATAACAGAATAAGAATAATGCGTCTTTCTTTGTCACTCTTGAGTGATTTCACATTTTCACGGCGAAATTTTATACCAAGCCGGCTCACACGAATAATTTCATATTCTCACGAGGTGAAATTAACCGTAATTGGGTGAGTTTCTCACTTTCGTCATTTTCACCCAATCCGAAAACCGTAATAGGCCCCCAGGATGTCTATGGCCAATATTCATAGTCAGTTCTTATTTCTAGACTGCCTTAAGTAATGTCTTAAGATGCTAAAACTCTGATTGGTTCGTAACTCCTCAAGACTGAACTTAAGACGGTCTTGAATATAAGAATGACTATGGCCGGTATTCATAGTCAGTTCTTATATTCAAGACCGTCTTAAGTTCAGTCTTGAGGAGTTACGAACCAATCAGAGGGCCGCTTTAGCATCTTAAGACATTACTTAAAACATTCTTGAAATAAGAACCGACTATGAATACCGGCCTATGAATACCGGCCTATGGGACCTTTATAAGCTGTCCATGACTGTGTTTCAAAATTGACTGCCAGTACTGAAAATCTATAGTTTATGTCACGAACACTATAGGTTTTCAGTACTGGCAGTCAATTTTGGAACACACACCATATGTCTGTTCTTTATTGCTGAACTTTTGCACCAGTTCATCTTTTTTCCTTTTCCCTTCTCCTAGAGAGAAAAGGAAGAAAGATGAACTAGTGCAAAAGTTCAGCAATAAAGAACAAACCTCATATAAGCTGTCCATAGAATATACATTTATGAATGCTCTAAGGATAAATTTGTATGTCCATATGTTGTCTGCAATGCGGATTTTGGCGTATTTAGCTCCCTCGATCTATATCAACGCCATCTGAATTCCGCTTCCGACTTCTCTTTTATTTCCGACATTGCCATTTTGAAATAGTCGTGCAAACGGTATGTATGTACATACATGCGTATATTAGAGAGTAACATATTTATAATATAATTTAAACACTAAAACTAAATTACGGATATATAAAAGTTGATAAATTCAGCCATTTATTGTGAGATCCGATAATCTCGGGTACACGGAACTCATCGACTCGCGTAAAGATACACGTGCGGTCTCGCGCTTCGCGTTCACTTGGCGCGAGACACTACCGTGTCTCTTGATCTATGGCGACATGGATCTTAAGAAAAAAAAAGCATGTATTTAAATCCAAATCATCGTCAGTATTCTACGTCAATCCATTAATATTAACCATACACAATCAATAATATTGTCAGTATTCGTTGATACTGACAGTATTACTGACCGTGTACAGAGGCCTTATGCTTTTACTTAAATACATAATTATATATTACTTATTAAGCAGCGTGTACATATTTATAATAAATAAATCGTGAGTAATTTTTTAACATAAAACATGAAAGGAATATACATAACCTACAATTAACCTAATAAATAATATGTATTATTACAATATGCAAGTTATAGAAAAGACACAGAAAAAGACAAGAGCTCCTAAAGTAACAAATATGCAATTAGAATACCTAATTAAAATGGAAAACCATATTGCGTTTGCTATAGGCAAATTGTTAGGGACAAGGGGAAAGCCAGTTCATGATAAACAATGGCAACACCTAAGTGAACAATTAAATCATTTGGACGGACCATCGAAAGGTGTAGAAGGTTGGAAAAAAGTAAGTTTAATTGTATGTTTGTATCATACATCCAGTATTCATAGTTATAAGCTTCTTATATTTAAAACCATCTTGAGTATAATTTTGAGATTTTATAAGCTACGTACAGACCGTATTAGTATACTCTTATTACAATTATAAAGATTATTTTGTTTCAGATTGTTTTTTTTATTGAAATACTTTTTTAATATTAGTAATATTGCATGTTGCAGCTTTAGTGCGATCAGAGGAATCAGGCTAGAAGTCGGGCGGCAAAAGCAAGAGCAGCGCAAAAGATGACAGGCAACATTAGTACTACAATACAATTGAAGAGCTTTGATTTAAGAATACTATCAATTTTTAGAGGTGAATCCTGTGTAGGTTTGCCTATAATGGAAGTGGGACTTGGAGAGCGACCTGAGGTTTGTTATCTTTTTATAGAGAACGTTATATAGTATAAAAATCTATCATTCTATCCCACACTATCTCATATCTGCGACGGTCAAGACCTCACGATAGAAAGAGATGCAAGGGATTTATAGATTCAGTTAAACTACCATTTTCTGGCTTCAAGCTACGGACAGAATGATTGATCTATATATTATATATTGTTAGGTTTATCATGTTTTGCGTTAACTTTGTATTGCGCTTTTCAATTGCAATTTAAATTATTTGCAACTCGTGAATAAAATAGATTCTGTCTGTTTGAACAGGATATTATCGATCCATCATCAGTTTTGGGACTAACATCAAATAATCTTGCAGGACAAAATATTAATACTGAAAAAGAAAATGTAAGTATTAAATACAAACTATTAATGCTGCTAAATATGGTCATCACAAAATATATTTTTTTATTAAATTAAATTCTTTTATTTAGAACACATCAATTGAAATTGGAATAAATGAGGAAGATCTAATTTTATTCCCATTAAATGAAGATTATTTGATACAAAATTTGAATGAATAAACAAATCAGTTAATTGATGAACCATGTACTAGTTGCCAAAGAACACTGGAAAACAAGTACATACATAACGTACAACCGAATGTAGAAGTAAGCACAAACATGAATGTAACGTTAATGATTCATGCTTCGTTAATCAATCAGAATAAAAGAATTTTATGAATTGATCAATCAATAAATACTTTAAAGCTTTTGCAGCGTTAAGTGGATTACACTTAATATTTATAGTATAAATTTCTATTCTTCAGTATTATTATATTTACTATTATTTTTATACACTTTATGTTCTATCCTAATGAAATTATCATTGTTATAGAAAAATGTCCAAGAAGCTCTTCAAACAGAACCAAATAAATTATCAGAAAATAGTTCAAGTACATTCAAACGCGACAGTAAGCACGATATATTTATGATATACATTTTCAGTATTTTATTTTATCATATTCATTATTGTTATATAGTTATATAGTTATATAACAATAATGAATATGATAATAGTTATCTATTTTATTATTGTACGTTAATCAAGTTGTTATTGTTATAGGGAAACGTCCGAGAAGCAGCAGGGCTATTCTGAAATTTTTTAATGCATGCGTTATATGGCTTGTAACGCATGCTTTCATATTCCATAAATGCATCTTAACGCTTGGCATCGTCAATCAATTTACATTGCATTTACGTTAAGTTTGCGTTATATTAAATTTCACTAAGAAATTGTATTCTGTTAGCCACTTTAACGCAATTTGTAACGTATGTCCGTGCGTTACGTAAAGTAATGCTAACATTGCTAACGCCGACTTTTAGACAGCGTTAAATGTCATAACGCAAGTTAGGTGTTATAACGCGCAATAAAATCTTGTGAAGAGTAAATGTTACATTTTGAATAAATTGTAGATAGATTTTTCAATCTGTTAGATATTACGGAGGAGCAAGCAATGTGGGAAAATGTTAGATTAATGAAAGAATTGAGAGACAATATTAATCCATTCGATTTAACTGATGAACAATTTAAAAAATTTAAAAATTTTCCGCTTATCAAAAAAAGCTGTAATATATTTAAGTAATTCTCTTCGAGATATTCTGCAACGTAAAGGAAGAAGAGGAATAAGTTTAGAAACACAGGTAGTGTATTTTTAACACAGAGATTATGTATTTTATAACATAACCATATAAAATATTCCAAACAGCACACAATATTTATAAAGTATTTACAAAATATTTTTCAAATTTATTTTTAATATTATGGAAATATTTTTGTGGTTTTAGGTTGCACAGATCATAAATATTTATTACAAATATTATGAAATATTTATGGTACATATTGTGTAGTAGTAAGTGCTATGAAAATACTTAATATAATCCAAATAAAAAATACTTACTAGAAATATTTATTTATGTTTATCATATATGTTATATAAAATATTTAGTCTATATTTTAATAATGTTTTCGAATAAGGGTTATATAAAAAATATGTATAAAATATTTATATAATATATCAAAAAATTGATAATAAATATTTATGAATATTTATCATAAATATTCTGTGCTGTCTGGGATATAAATATTAGTTTTGTTAAATTTAGTGCAATAAAAAATTATGTATTATTATATAACAAAAACTGTATTTCAGGTTTTAGTAACATTACGATTTTTCGCTATAGGCTCCTACCAAAGGGGTATTGGTAATGATTATTTAATATCTCTGTCACAACCAGCTATTAGCAGAGCGATAAAAACAGTAGCAGTAGGCATTACAGAATTGCTTGCTAATGAGTGGATCAAATTTCCACAAACTGAGGAGAAACGAGCAATTTTAGAAAAAAAAGGTAAGATTTTTGACAATATTATGAAAAACAAATTCTTTCGTAAGTAAAATTGTCTATTCACTAAATTCTATTTTCTTGTCATAATTTTAGTAATATTGATTTATTCTAACAGATTTGAACAAAAAAGGAATTTTAAAGGGGTGATAGGTTGCATTGATTGCACTCACGTCGCTATCGTGAGACCAAGTCGTCACGAGGAAGCATATACATATAAACCATAAAGGCTTCCATTCGATTAACGTACAGGCAGTAAGTAAGAAACAACTAATATCTATGGTATTTTGAAATATAATATATAATGTATTAACAATAAGTTTAAAGAGAGATTGAATACATAGTCATATTATTTATTAGATAGCGTCACACGACTTGGAAATACTAAACATAAATGCCAGATTTCTGGAAGTGTCCACGATAGTTTTATATGGAGCATTCTGCTGTAAGGGATAGGATGACAAGATTGTACGATTCTGGAGATCGATCAACATGGCTTTTGGGTTAATGTCATAATTGTTAATTTATATTTATAAATTTTTGTCCGATTTGGACACGGATTCTTTCGAACGATTGGAACAAATTTTACAATAAACCATAAAAGTAATCACAAAACTCTTGATATTTTTAAATTCTACAATCTTTAATTGTCTTAAATCAATTACCGTTAAAAATTTTAACATATCTTTTAAATAATGATTTACAAGGATTTTCTTTTTTAAAAAAATTTTCGCATGATAGCCGAAAATATAACTTCGCGCGGTCTCGGCCATAGACGGTTTACGACATCGCCACTAATGCCATCGGTCGGCGACCTAGCACAACAGGTAGCACTCACCAAGCATAAGCTCGTGTATGTATGTACCTGGAGCTCATTAATTCGCTGGGTCATAGTAGTGGTTCTACTTATCAACGCTGAGTCGCGCCTTGAGCGTTACCGACTCAGCGTCGATAAGTAGAGCCGCTACTATGACCCAGCGAATTAATGAGCTCCAGTGTATGTTATTTAAAATAAATCTGCAAAAAACATACAATAATTTTTCAATAATTAACATTTAAGTGATATGTAAAGTGCTACAATTAATTTTTTATTATAACATACTTTTTAAATGAAAAGACGTACATATACATGTTGGTCAAGACTCAAGAGTATAGAAAATTACTAGTTAATACGCGTATAAAAATTTTTAAATACTTATTTCGAAACCGAAACTGCCTTCGCTCGATTAATAAGAAAAGATTCGTGGTGCTCGTGGCAGAAGGCAAAAGAGGCCAGGGTATCGTTAAAATCGGTCAGAAAAGACGCAGAGCAGGAGAATTTGGAAGGTGAAATGTATGGTGCAGGCATTACCGACTAGAGGTATATAAAAAAAATGTATACTATTTTAGTACTTAAAACTTTAAACGCGATTTTTTGGAAACAATGTTTTTCAAGTTGGCCGGAAACATAACTCAAACAATTTTTGAACGATTCAATTCAAATTTTAACAGTAGCTTTGTAATTAGATTTTACACAGAAGTACGTAGGAGTTTTTTGGTATCTTGTCAACTTTTTTTGTTATAAACAATTTACGATGAAATTTTTTATTAAAAAATGAATTCTTTCTTCAAATAAGCATTATTTTTTCAAAATTCAATATTTTCAAAATCCCCTATATACTTCTGTAGCCAATTATATATAGTTTTCAAAAAACTTTGGTTTTTTGTTCCGGATTGAAAATTGTGAGAGAAACTTTTCCGGCCGTGAAGCCCTTTCAGCGAGAGATGATCTCGAGTTTCGTATTATGTAGCCACCATTTTGTTTAAAAATATTAATTAAAAAATTTTTGTATTTGCTTCAGAACATGTATAATAAACTCCTATAAACAGATTTTCCATTTCCTTTATTTTTTCTGCGTAAAAAATTATCAAAAACATGTATTTTTTTCGAACATAGAGTGGCGTTACCCCTTAACTAGTAATTTTCTATTAAATAATCTTATTTTCAGCAATGTATTTAAAGAATAATGTATTAAATTAGTATAATATGGATCAAAATAATTAAGGGGGAACACTACTGTGAACGGCCGAAAACATAGGGTAACTTATGGATTTTTTTATAGTTAAATAATAAAGTAAATAGAAAATCGGTTTGAAGGCCTTTAATGTACATATATCCAAGTACATAAAACAATTTTTGTTTAATTTTTGTGCGTCAAGATGGCGGCGCTTGAGCTCTGCAAATGAGACTGCGTTTTTCTCATAGGCCTCCGGGGCTTGCAGCAGAAGTGCCGTATACTTTCACTAAGGACAAAAAACAAAATTTTTTCATAATCTACATTAAATTTGCTAGAGAAGTACATACGTATATTTTATAATATTGATTTTTATAGAAATGGTGAACATGTAAATACAAAGTTTCATTTTTATTAAAAAAATTCAATGAAAAAATATTAGTAACAAAAAAAGTTTTTAACCGATCGAAAAAATCGTATGTACTTCTCTAGAGAATTTAGTTTAGCAGTTATTGTAAAAATTTAAAGTTGATCGGATAAAATTTGTCAAAGTTATGCTGCAAGCCAATTAGAAAAACATGATTTCGAGAAAAACGCGTTTAAAGTTTTGAACAACATTATTTAACATTTAACTAAAGAAATTTTTTATCTACCTTTACTCTACGATGCTTGCACCATATGAACTGTTCTTCCATATCGATGTTTTGTTGAATTAAAACATCTTTCATTATTGTTCTGCGTAAAGTCACCTAAGCAACGATTGAGCGCTTAGATGGCGTTACGCCTTGCTTCAAAAAATCAGCTATAAAACCATTAAAAAAAATTTTTTCACGTATAAGGCCAATTGAATCTTATTCTAAAGACTCTAAAGTATCATTTAAAACAAAAAAAATTTTTTCGATTTTTTGAAAATTTCACAGTAGTGTTCCCCCTTAATCAAATACACATATCATGTACCTATATGTTTACACATAATGTTGAAATTAAGATAATTTAATAGAAAGTTAGTACTCGTATCAATTGCGCGATGTAAACTAGGCCAGTTGAGTCTGCTCTCTACTGAACGCGACCATTGTAGACGATGCGCGGAGTGATTCTTTGGGTGTCTTCCAACAAGCAACACAGGCGATAATACACCATTTGATTTATCTCATTATTCTGTTCACAAAAGTATTAAGGTACGATAATCAAAAAGTCAATAGTTTACGAGTTATTTAACATTTTGTGTCAATATATATCAAAATAAAGTGGCAAATATCTGGAAAACTATTGATTTTTTAGTATCTCTATCTTAATACTTTTATATGCAAAATAATTAGAGGAATCACGTTATCTAAAAAAAATTACATAATTCCATTTAAAAAAGTGGTGGTGACCTTCATATCTTTTTAGCGCCTCCACCAAAAAAACAATTATTGACATCACATTATGTGCCCTTCAAAACCAAGCAACTTTTGTTTGACATTTTTTCTTCTATTGTCAAAAACAATCGAGTTATTCATCTGTTTTAAATGCCCCTCCCTGTATATATATATATATATATATATATATATATATACCTACATATATATATTGGTATATATATAACGGGGTCTTATACAGCTAGCGGCCGTTTTACCGTTCCTAATACATTTATTAGGACAGGCTTTTTGGTATTGGAACCAACCTGACATTTTAACCCTCAATCTGGACGACTAGGAATCATTAAATATGATCCATTGTACAGAGGATTTATGGTTTAACGCCGGATCGGCGTTGATGATCATAGATCTCTTACCAGATGGAGCCATTTTCAGCTCTTTACACGCAAAAAATCGCGAGTGGGGGCAGATAGGATTGAACTCGACTGCTGGTATCTCATATAGATCCTTCGCTGCAGAAATATTATTTTCTAATGCTTCATTGCCTGCTATCAAATGTGTAACAAAATCACTAAAATAATTAGACCTCTCAGCTCCACCTTCTTGCAATAAATTCAAAATCTGTAAAAGTATTACCTACGATTACAAATAGTAACACTTTATGATAGTCAGGCATATCTAAATCTAAAATATTACAATACTGTCATTCCTTATACTAAGAAAAAAATTACAGAAAAGAAAAATAATCCAACGACAGAACGACATTTATATAAAATGGTATTCCAAATATAACCTTCGTCGACAATAGAGAAACATCAATTTCATAGCGGAGAAAAAAAAATTAGTTTTCAGAACATCGCGAAATCGTCGGCTATTATTAGTCGAGATATTACTTCGCAGTAATAATAACAATCTCAAAAAAATTACCATTTTAAAAATATAATAAGTGAATGTATACTTAATCCAATAGCATTTTAATACTATATTTTCTTTCTTAAATCTTTTCATTATTTTTCATATTCGGAATTATTTAATAACCATCTTGTTATTGTATATTTTAAGGTCTAGCAGCGCCAAGTTTTTTGTATTTTTACTTTTTAAAAAAAGTATATGTTACATATATGGCAAGAAAATATATTCCTTCCACAATTTGGCGTAATCTAAAAAGATTTCATTTCATTTTTGCATACTTGGCGCTTTTTTTTCCTTTATTTAAAAAGGTAATTTTGTTGAGATATCACGCATTTTGTAATGTTAAATATTTCTTATAAATCTATATATAAAATATAAAAATAAAAAAATAAAAAAAAGAAAAAACCTCCTCCTGCGACGACACTCTTGCTTTCCAAGTCTTCTCTTGACAACGCATAACGCGTCATGTATGGAACATTCCATTTCGTCACAGTAATAATCGTTTATGTAAAATAATAGAGCTCACTGTGCGTGCCTTTAGCATTAAAATAACAAAGAAACAATATTTAAATATTAAATCTTATAGGACCGTGAGAAACACAACCAATAAAGTGCCTTTAATGATCGAGCTGTATCTTAGGTGCTAATTATAATTCCGTTAGAATTTATCAAGAGACACGGTAGTGTCTCGCGCCAAGTGAACGCGAAGCGCGAGACCGCACCGTGTATCTTTACGCGAGTCCATGAGTTTCGTGTACCCGAGATTATCGAATCTCACAATAAATGGCTGAATTTATCAACTTTTAAATAGTCTTAATTTAGTTTTATTGTTTAAATTATATTGTATTATAAATAGGTACGTTTTTATTTTCTACGTACCCTACGAAGAAAGATATCTCGATGTGAAATTGAAATGTCGAAAATTTTGACATCGGAAATGTTGTCCGTTTCACGTTTTAAACGACAGACGGCGCTTGCTAGCATATTTTATTTTATATTGATTAGCTGTCAACGTAATCGATTATTAGCTGTCAACGTAATGACATTAGATAGATAAAAAATAGCAAAGGAGGATTTTTGTATCCCGTTAAAGCAGTCGATGTCTTGAAAGCTCACGGAAAAAATGTTCGAGAGTCGATTTTGGTTCTAGGCTATGCTTCGAACTGTACTGTCGCCTCTTAAGCAATGCCGAAGAGGATAACGAACGCGAAAATCGCATGCTAAAGCTACAAGTGCGCAATTTCTAATTTCGCTAACCAACATGGAAGGAGAGGAGAGTTTTGATACCAGTTTTATATAAATTCTCACGGAATTATAATTAGCACCTAAGATACAGCTCGATCATTAAAGGCATTTTATTGGTTGTGTTTCACGGTCCTATAAGATTTAATATTTAAATATTGTTTCTTTTTTATTTTAAGGCTAAAGGCACGCACAGTGAGCTCTATTATTTTACATAAGATTATTACTGTGACGAAATGGAATGTTCCATACATGACGCGTTATGCGTTGTCAAGAGAAGACTTGGAAAGCAAGAGTGTCGTCGCAGGAAGAGGTTTTTTCTTTTTTTTATTTTTTTATTTTTATATTTTATATATAGATTTATAAGAAATATTTAACATTACAAAATGCGTGATATCTCAACAAAATTACCTTTTTAAA